TATCTTCCAAACTTGCGACTTTCTCGCTACAGCAAGAGATTCTAGCTACAACGAGAGGGCTCCAAAATGTTCCATTTTCACCGTCTCATTCTCGCTACAGCGAGATATCCTATAGTTCACATCAATTAAACACTTCTAATTTCAAATAACTAACATTAATTACAATAATAATAAATTACAAAATGAGGGTGTTACAATACATGTTAATATTACATGATAAAAAAATTTGCTTGAATTTGAAGAAAAGAATAATTGCCAAAGTCCAGTAAATCACAAAAATGAATGAATGAAAAAGAAAAAAATATTGCAAGGCATTTTGATAGAAAAAGAATTTCCACATAAGGAAAAATTCAATACATTGTATTATTTAAAAATAATACAACTTTATGCTTACCTAAAAAATTAAATTAAAATATATAACACAATTTAGTGAAGCAAAATAAAAAATATCAAATTCAAAAATACATATACTTATGTGGATAGGTAATTTTTGACAGCTAACATGATTACAAAATATAAAGAAAAATGATAATAATAGAAAAACGGTAAACAAGTTTTCAAAAGTTGTGTAAATATGACTTATGTAAGTAGAGATGATTTCCTACTTGAAGATATATTAAAACTTAGAAAATAAAAAATTAATATAATAAATGTTATCTTTTCATCTATATTATAGTTTACTTGTCTTTTTTATTGAAAATTTAATTTAATAATATATATTATAAAACAATAATTAACATTTAAATGTTATATAAAAGTTAAAATAAAGATACATTTTTACTTTTAATTAAAAGATAACTCGAACTTCATCAAAGTTTTTTAAATATATTTTTGTACAATTTAATTAATATTATCTTTTCTATTCTCAATATTTGACATAAAAAAATTATTTTTTATAGTAAATTTTAATATATTTTTTTATTAATAATCATTTATAGTAGTTTTGTTACTGTCATTTTTAATATTATATAATTATCCATTCTAATAAATTTTTTTCAAATACAAAATTTGAAGATAATAAGTATAAATTAATTATAATTAAATTATGCAAATTATTATAATTAATTTTAATAATTTTTATTTAATATAATTTTAAATTATTTCATCTTATCTTGTATATAGTATTTTTATATGTAAACTTATCTTTTTATTAGAAATTTAATTTAAGAATATATAATATAAATTAATAATTGTGTAAGTGTAATTTTTTTTACTTCAAACTAAATTTTAGTTTTTGAAATATATATTGAATTATATATTATATTAAAGTAATTAATAAAATAATTTAAATATGTAAATTTATCTTTTCATTAGAAATTTAATTTAATAATATATAATATAAACTAATAATTTTATAAATATAGTTTTTTAATTCAAATTAAATTTTAATATTTAAAGTAAATATTAAAATATAGATTATATTAAATTAATTAATAAAATAATTTAAATATATAAACTTATTTTTAATAATAAATAATATAAACTAATAATTTTATAAGTGTAATTTTTTTAATTCAACATATATTTTAGTGTTTGAAATATATATTAAATTATAAATTATATTAAACTAATTAATAAAATAATTTAAATATATAAACTTATCTTTTTATTAGAAATTTAGTTTAACAATATTCAATATAAAAAATTAATTTTATAAATGTATTCTTTTTAATTTAAATTATATTTTAGTATTTAAAGTACATATTAAAATTTAGATTATCTTAAACTAATTAATAAAATAATTTAAATATACAAACTTATGTTTTAATAAAAATTTAATTTAATAATATATAGTATAAATTAATAATTTTGTAAGTGTTATTTTTTAATTCAAAATACATTTTAGTGTTTGAAGTACATAATAAAATATAGGTTATATTAAAATGTAGTAATAATTTTAATTTGTAAATTATGAAAAATAGTATAATTAATTTAAGGTAATTTATAGTATAAATATTTATGTTATCGTTTGTAACATAATATAACCATCAATACTAATAAATATTTTTTAAATATAATTCAAACATAATAAGTATGAATAAAGTATAATTTCAATTCTTAAGTTATACGTTTCAAATTTTAATACATAGAGTAATAAATAAGTGTAGTAAATAGAAGTGACTTTATACATTTTGAATTTTAATACATAGATAGAAATAATTTTTTACATTCAAAATTTAATACACAGAGTAATAAATATGTGCAATAAATTTTATATATAAATATAGAAGATAGATATAAATATAGATACTTTTATCAATTTGTAAAAAGAAGAAGTTAGATGTGTGTATTTCTTATTAAAATATTAGAATCCTTTATTTTTCCCTTGAGATAGAAAATTGATACAGATAGAATAGAAAATTGCCTTGTGTCTAACGAGACAAGAGAAGATTGCATATATTTTTAACAGTGAGATAATTATTAAACTCACTAAATGAGGCCAGAAACCTCTCTTAGACATTAAAAAAAAGGTTGAACAGTTTAAATCATCGCAAATTATTTAATAAGCCTAATAATAATATATTTATTAATTGATTTTATATTAATTTAATGAATAATATCATAATTAGATTAATAAAAATATTAATATATCATCTAATTGTGGGTATTAAAGGTGTCGGAAAGGATAATATGACAATCTAGTTGTTCCTGATAATCTCTTTAACCATTCTTGTAAATATGAATAATCATGCCTTGTTACTTTTTATTGGTTCAATTACCAATACATTTTTATCAAATTCTTTTTTCTTTCTAAGATGGGATCCAATGCAATTAGGAGCATATATGTAAAACTGTTCGGAGAAAATGAAAATATCTTAAGTTATAATAGTGTTTGTTTAAACAAAGAGTTTTTATATTGAAGTATAGTTGAGTTATCTTACTAAAAAAAACATGAATTAAAAATTCAATACTCCTTGAAAAGCTATGGCTCTTCTATAGTCTAAGTACACACTTCGACTAAAAATTGGTAGAATATGATCATAAGATTTTTCTACTTTTTGCCAAGCTTTTTGTGAAGAAAGGAAAAGTCAAAGGAAAATCCTTTTGGGTCAAACAAAATGACTTTTTGACAAGTTTTTGAGTAAGATTAGAGTCAAAGAAAATATTAATTTCTCGACAAGTTTTTCAGATAAATTTGCCATAGGAAAACATGGATTTTAGTTGAAATGAAGAAACATGGTTAATGATTTTTTGCATATTTATGAAAGATTGGTAGATAAAGTTACAAGATGCAAAAATAACAAAAGTTAGTTGAAAGAGAATGTTTCAAGAAATCTTTGGAAGACATTACCATTTGTAGCAGATGAAGTCAATAATTAGTTGAAGATCACTTCATCAAAATAATCGGATCAAATTATTCTTTGAAATGTCCCAAATATTAAAACTTGAAAGAATTAAAGATTTGACTTAAAGATTTGAAGTGTCAACATTAGTTAACTGCAACTAAAGATCAAAACATGTTGCAAAGATCATAAGTGACCTGCAATAGCAATTATAAGAATGTGCGCAGGTGTTTAGATAGTTAATTTGAATTATATCTATGAATAGTTTTTCATTTTATTATTTAGGGTGACAACTTTTATAAATAAACACTTGTACTCAAAATCAAAATCTCTACACGCTGAAGTTCTCATTCATCATTTAATGTGATTTCAATTCCAATTCAGTTGTTTTATTTTAATCAATTGATTCATTTAATCAAATAACACACTATAAAAAAATTCATAAAAAATCTAAAATTTATTTGTTTAGTGATAAATTTACCGTAAATAAAAACTCAAAACCCACTGAATAGACGTGAGATTCATATTAATTTTACCTAGTTATGAAAAATGTGTTGGCTACATTTTATTTGTGTAGAGATTGTTATGATTTCTTATAACCAAGAAGCAAAGAACCTACTAGCTAGTACCATTACCAAAGCATATGGTCTTCCTCGTAATGAGAAGTTAGCGGGTCTCATTTGATGCCAAGATCGACGACAAAGTTGAATCAACGCTTGCACAGGACCGTAGCGTTGCAAATTAATTCGTCATAACTCGTTAGGTTAAATAAAATTAACCGAATTGAATTTGAGACTGGTTATCCACTTTAGATTTTAGCGGTTGTTTTCCCTACCACAAAGAAGGTAATTAATGATTTATAATAACACCGAAACATTCTTCAAACAAATCTCTAGTGGATTTTTCTTTGTTTTTCTGCTGTGATAATTTAATGAACAAGAGATTATCGGTATTTTTTGAAGAAAAGAAAAACTGTAAACCTTCAACATCACCACATGATCCAAAAATTGATGTCCTGGCTGTTTCTTCTAATATGAAAAGGGTATCGAAGAGCACACAAAATCTTTTAACTCAAGCATAAGCACTAGCTCGATCAATTATTAGCTTGTTTACCATCACTGTCTACAGAAAAATGACTCATGGAGGATAGGTTTGGACCAATTTATCCATGGCAGTGCCTTGAATCAATCCAAGTTTTGCTGTCTAATCTGCAATAAAGGCAAAATAGTGGACACACATCCTTAGCATTTGTAGAATATTAAGAGATCGCTTTTTTATTTACGATTCTAAATGCAAGAAGACCCAAGTGAACTATGTGCCTTGATGTGAGTAATGTCAAATTCATGAGTTATGAATAGGGAAATGCTGATTATATATATAAGGGTTATTGTATTTCCACATTCGATACACGAGTTGAAATAAAAATACACATAAAGAGAGAGTGATAATTACATGATCACAGATGTGTGGTCTCCAAATGCAAGCATGTAAAAACGTAATCACAAGTTACCAAACGGCCATGACCGAGAAATAAATTCAAGAACACATATTTTTACCAAAATTAAAGAATAATTAAAAGTAATAAAATGGATATATAATAGAGAAAAGTAAAAAAAGAAAAAAGAAAAGTTATTGTTATAAAAAATTGTGGAGAATATTATAACTAAAAGAAAATGATTGAAGTTTAATTTACCTGTAAGAAAAAAGGAAATGTGATTAAGCCCAGGAATTATCAAAAGCAGCAGAGGTGATAGCCTGAGCGAACTCCTGAAAACTGATCATGCCATCGCCATCCGTATCAGCCTCTTTGATCATCCCGGTCAACTCCTCGGCGGTGAGCGCGTGTCCCAGACGCGCCATCGAGTGGGCCAACTCAGCCGCGGTGATGAAGCCGTTGCCGTCACGGTCGAACATTCTGAAGAGCTGCTTCAGCTGCTCCTCCGTGTACGGCGACTTTGCAGGCAGAAGCTCCGGCGCGACCAACGCCACGAACTCGGAGAACTCGACGAGGCCGTTGTTGTTCCTGTCGGCTTTCTGTATGAAGCTCTCTAACTGATCCGCACTCGGCTTCAGACCCAGCGACCGCAGAAGCGAACTGAGTTCCAACTGCGTTAGGCTTCCGTCGTTGTTTCGATCGAAGGAACGAAATATCTCTCGTAACTCGGCAATTTGCTCGTCGTCCAAATTCACGGCTTGTTTCTTGCTCATTGCTTCCAGAATCTTCTATTGGCAAAGAAATAACTGTCAGAATGGCTCTTTTGAGGACATACCCTTTAGATTGGCGTGTGGTGGTGACAGGGGAAGCCCTGGATCCGAATTTCCAGAGGTTTACCCTTTTGTCGGATCTGTTTTGAATATCCCAAAGAAGGAACAGTTCAGAGGTTGAATTTTCGGGTACTGCCTTAGAGGTGAGTCATGTCATATACGCCAGATGGATGAGCTTTCTTTTTATTTTTATATTTTGTAATGCAAATCGGTTGGTAGTGTATTCGTTACCCTGCAAACTTGTCTACCACTATTTCAGTATCTATCTATTAAGATTAAAATTTCAATATTGATTATTGGGAATATACTTACTGTTATTGCCGGTCTTCTTGTATTTAAGACTAAAAGTAATATTATTTATTTAACAATTTTTAGTATATTAAAAGAAATATAATAAAAATAATTTATTAAAAATATTAAATATAATATAATGACAATATTAAATTTTTATTTAATATTTTTTATATACGATAAAAAATCATTCATCTAAATTTGTTTGATTCCTTCATGTAGCAGGCAGAAAGGCGGGAATTGCGTGAGCAGCTCCCACGTTGTCCGTGGCGCCCCGCCTTCAACGTGTTTGGCCATCACTCTTTTGACCAACTGGGTCTTTACGGGTGAGGTAACCATAATGCAGAATTTTTCGTCCAGTTGTCTACTTGCCTATTTTCTTTTTATACAAATTATAAAAATTATCAATATGAGTTGTAAGAGCCACGTAATATCGGACTATTAACTAATTATATAAAAATAATTTAAATAAGAAAATTGTATTTTGATTTAGGGGAAACGAAGCCTTACAAAAGTGATAAATTACCTCAATTTTATACTATAGCAAGGATAATTTGCTCTAACTTTTTAGTAATTTTCTTTCTTTCTCTCTAAAGATAAAGGAAGATATTTCAAAATTTTGATAGTTTAGCCGGTCCTCAAACTCATGTTAGCAAAATCGTCTATAACGACATTAACTGATAAACATGTTTTAAGTTAATTAATTAAAAATTTTGCAATAAAATTCAAATATTTAACATTAACTCTTCATTGTATATTAAAACTTACAAGCAAATTTAAGTGTAATTAAATTATTTCAAGTGAATAAATTTACAACATATTTTTTTATACTCTCGTGAATAATATTTAATTTAATTAGGAATATGTTTCCTATACTATAATGCTCCAAAGAATCCATTAATCAATATTTTAAACTTAAATGTAATACATTAATACACCCTATCATTGTAGAAGAGGGGTTCCATTTACTATTAATATAAAGTGTGATTTTTCATTATTTTTTAGCAGCATCCGATATTGAGTACTATTGAGAATTTTCTTATAAAAAAATATTAGTTCTATAACCATAACTTGACATTGTCTTCTAACATAATCAATAGTTTACTTGACTTAGTTTATATATAAAAGTATTGTTCCTCCAACACCAAATTTACCCTAATGTTACCCCATATACTCTATTCATATTATATGTGAGTAGGCAAATTACTATTGTTTTGCACATCTTCATTAAAGAAGTTTGATATATAACAAAGGTTTAACTACAACCAAACTTTTCTAGAACATGATACTCTCATAAAGCATAGAAAAGTGATTCACTTATACTCCTACAATGAAAAAAGGATAAGAACTTGCAACACAACTTATCATAAGTTTTCTCTAAGTTAATTTTGAAAATCAACAAATTTACTTTACTTTCACTCCTATGCATACTACAAGGTATTTCCTAAATAATCAATGCATTATCAATTATACTTTTTTTAGGTAGAAAGTTCCTATAAAAATGGTCAATCAAATTGTTAAGAAAGGTCATAATTATTACACAAAAATCCTTTGTAATTACTTTGTAAACTACATCACATCATCTATTGAGCCTAAACTCTTTTGAGAAGAAATAATTATTAACATTAGTAATAAAGGCAAGGACAATCTTCACAACATATAGTCAAAGTTACTAACTAAAAGTGTTTGCCACAAATTTATAAAAAGTCATTGCTCATTAGCCTTTGATACCTCTAATAACATAAAGGCTAAAAATTATGAGGACTTATTCCTTGTAGTTATTCATACTTCTTAAAGGTCTTCTAAAGAAAATAAACTATTATGATAATTTTAAGTACTTAGAACATGTTTGATTTCTATTTTAAAAATAGTTTTCTATTTTAAAAATAAAACAAATACAAAAACAAAAAGTATTTTTAAAATAGAAATCAAACATATTTTTAATTTCAACTTCTCTTAATTTGTGCACTAAAAACCATTTTTTAATATAAATCATATTCCCTCTTCTTACTAAAGTATGCATATGTAAAAATTTTGTATTTTAATTATAAAGTTTTATCCACTTTTTTTGAAATTTTTGGAACTATAAAAATTCTTATTTTTTAAAACATCTTATTATCTATTTTTATATAGTTTAGCCTCTAACTCTCAACTTTCGAAATAGTGGGAGTAAAATTTTGTTAATTTTAATTTTTAGAACTGAGGTTTAAACACTAAAATATAATAATTATTTTTTATTAAAAAATAATTATTTTATTATATTTATTAAAATACAATCAATATTTTTTAAATAAAGTTTTATTAATTTTAAATAGTTAAACTCATTTCTAAGAATTAAGGTTAATATTTTTTATCAATCTTTATATTATAAATGAAATTACTTTATTTACAGAGTGAAACATTGAATAGAATTATTATCTTTTATAAGAATATATCTAATAGAATAATGTTAGCAACACACTTTTTGTAACATACCTTACTATAGGCTAAAATTTAATAAAAATTAAATAAATTGTGGATTTTATTATATTTTACTCATAAATTAATGTTTTTTCTCATATTTTTTTAGTTTTTAAAAAAATTTAATATAAAAATTTTAGAGATAAAAGTTACTACCTTTTCCTTATTATCTTATATAAATATTAAGATTTTGTTATGAATACTTAATTTTTTATTTATAATTTTTTTATTATCTTATATAAAATTTTTAAATTTGTCATAAATATCTATGCTTACATTTATAAAAATTATGATATTCAATCTATTATTTGGAGCACTTTAGTCAAAATTCTCAATAATTACACATTTAATTTCATGCCAAAAACATCTTTACTATTGTAAAAGTTGAATAGTCCATCACTTCTATTTATTTTTTCCTCAAAATTTGCATTTTCTTCAAACACTATCTCTTACATCTTTCTTTTGATAATTATAACAAATTTAAAATAAATTATATATCCATTGCATAAATTACTTACTAATTTCAGTTAAATTATACATATTGATATAAAAATATTAATTCAACAGGATGAATGTAATGAAAATTTCTTTTCTTTTCATTCGAGAATGAGCATGATAAATTTGGGTCCAAATTATAGGTTAATTTGAATCACATTATCAATTTAAAAAGGTAGGTGGTTTTTTAAAAATGTTATATCACCTTTATATTTTAGCAATGATAATTTATAATAAGATTCCATATTTGAGATTTATTTTAGCATTGTAAGGTAAGAAAAGTAATATCATTTGTCTGTATACTGTCTAATGGAAGGAGATGGAGCGGAAAGGATTATAATAGGATGGAGTGGGCTTTTATTCTATTGTTTGAATATATTATGATCAAATAAATTTAAAATAATTAGCAAAAAAAGTTAAAATAAATTTTATTATTTGAATAATGAACAGAATAAAATGCATTATAACTTTCTTTTATTTAATTTTTATATTTTATTACATTATAACTTTAACAAATTACGCTTATCAAGTAAAAAAATTATTAGTATTAAATTAAATTAAAAATTTTGATAAGAACAAAAATAAATAATATTATTTGTAAAATATAAGATTTTTTCCCTATCAATTAAAGACCTAATACAAACGATAACGTAATACTGATATGATTATTATTATTTTTTGTATTAAGGTTTATTTAACTAATTAATTTTTAAAATTTATATTTCCATTTAAATGTTATCATTTTAATTTTATTTTATTATATTAAATTTATACATGACATTCAATTCTAAATTAATGATAAAAAATAATGTAAAAATAAATACATTATTTATATTTCTTTAAAAAAGAGTTATTTTTTTACTAATCAATACAAAATCACTCCAAAAAGAAAATCATTTTGAAATTTTTAGATAATTTGTAGTTTATAAAAAAAGTTAAAATATATAAATATATTCTTTTGGAGAAATTATATATTGGTTAATTTTTTTTTATAAAAAGTTAAGAGAACAAAAATAGTAAAAGTCTTTTAAAACTTTTAGTCATGCTTAATATGAGGAAGATCAAATGCTTATATCCTTTTTTAATTATTGTGTAGGATAAATGTTTTTATTTAAATTATTGTTAATTTTAATATTTTTATTTTTAGATTTCAATGAATAAGGACGTACTTTAATAAAATAAATTAAAAATGACTAAATTGACAACGGAGTATTGATTTAGTAGCGATGTATGTAATATAAATGTTACTTAAGTATAAAATAATAAGTAGATTACAAATATAAAATAATAAGTTTAGAATTTTTAATTTTATCTATTTTCTCTTAAAATAAATAAATAAATATAAAAATAAAATTAATTTTACTAAGTTTACTATATTCTATCTTCGTTTTATCAAACAAAACATCAAAATAAAATATGACCTCACGTTATTTTTCGTCATGTATTTACATTCTTTCAGTCTAACCTTAGCCTAAATTTCGTATGCAAGCCACAGTGCGACCTCAAGAGCACCTAACATAGACTAATTCCAAATGATGTGAAAACAAAACAAAAAATATACTCATCTCCAATTACTAGTTGACACCTAATTAGCCCTTTAATGGATGAGCATAAGCATACTTTTCAATTAGAATGTGGTGGAAAGATGTCGTTGGTCATAAGTCAACGGAGGAATCCATACAAATATTTTCTAAATTTCCTGGACGTTTATGAAACATTTTTTTTATATAATTTAAATGTTTAACGTTCTAAATATGCAAATTTAATATCATGTGGTGAACACTATGATTCATAGAAAGATAAATATCATGTGCTTTCAAAAAATAAAATGGGTTAGAAATAGGACTAAGGAGCTCAATATACAAGTTTTAAACTTTAGTACATAATAAAAGTCAAAGAAAAGAACAGAGTAGACATAATTATAGATAATACTTAAAAAAAGAACATGGTAGAGGTTAAAAGGATTGGAGATAGAATCATGTTCTTGAAGTTATTGGTTACAGAAGACACTATTAATATCATCAATATTTATGTTCCATAAGTGGCTCAAAAGCTCTTTGAAAAAGTATATTTTATGGAGGATTTTAGAAGGGTTGATCCAAGACATTCCACAAACTATAAGTATTTTCATAAGAGACTTTAATAGACATGTTAGTTGTGAGACAAGACAATTTATAAGAATTCACGATGTTTTTTATTTTAGAGAGGTAAATGGGAAACAATAGTCTATCATTGATTTCTCAATGTCCTAAAACTTTAAGATTAAAGACACTTGTTTTAAGAAGAGGGAAGAACGTTTTATCACTTCTAAGAGCAGGGTTTCAAGGTTGCAAATTGATTTTTTTTTTCTTAATAAGGAATGTAGACAAAAGAATGTACAAAAATTGTAAAGTGATTCCATGCATGATAGAGTTACATAATAAGGATCTTGGTCCTTGATGTTCATTTTAAGACTAGTAAACAAAGAATTTGACAAGTTATTATTCTAAAATATAAGTGGTGGTTACTTAAAGGCAAGAACCTATTTGACTTTCAAAAGCTATTAGTAGAAAAGGGTAGTTAGGTGAACAAGGTAGTGTTAACATTATTTGGGACAAAATGACTACGAAGGTCAAGAAAGTTTCCAAGAAAATTTTAGATGAATTTAAAGGTTTTGGACCAAAAGACAAGGAATCATGATGGTAGAATGAAAGTGGGCAAGAGAAGATTAAAAGAGAAACATATGTGTTTTAAAACTTTGAATATATGCAACAATGCCGAAAATTGGGCAAGTTATCAAAATACATGAAATAAGGCAAGAAAAATAGTGAGTGAAACACATTCTAAGGCTTTTGAAGGGTTATATTAAGATCTTAGGACAAAGAAAAAGTAGAGAAATAAAATTTAGATATTTGAATCAAGTTAGATGTATTAAGGATGAAAAAGAAAAAGCTTTTGGTTTTGGATCAAAGTATCGAAGATAGATGAGAGATGTAACACCCTTTAAATTTTGACATCACAAATATCTTATAATTTGTGTATTTTCAAAAAACATGAAAATTAATTTCAATTAAAACAAATAACATAAAATTTAGAAGAATTTAAAGCTTTTCTGTGGATGAGTTTGTTCACAAAATTAACAAGGGAGTAAATGTACAAAGTAAATCGCGACTTAGTAATTACATTATACTGGAACAGTTACAGAAATATGTAGATACTAAATTTCATTTACATATGAACATTGTAATAATTTATAAGTTGTTAGTCAAAAAGCTGTAGGACTTAGAATAAATATTTACATAACCAAAATATACTAAGCCCTATGAGCAGTCCCTATCCACACCTATACTCTGAAGACCCAGTCCTTATTATGAACATCATGCCAACCCTCTATTTCGGCCAGGTCCTCAACAGTCAGTTCTTCATCTTCTTCGAGGTAGGGGTCACTAGAATCCACCTTAACCTCTATGCTGGAAAATCTCTCAAATGTATACCGAGTGGGTCTCCCAAAAAGGTCATGATAGTGGAAGGTAAAAAAATTATTTACAACCCTTGACGGCCTAACTGTACCTCAGTATATATAAAAGCTAAAGATATGATGGATAAGACTATTTACAGGGAACTCGAAAGCAACATCATAACTTACATTCATTTCTACTATCCATACATTACCATCCTCGCAATTCATATTAAAGTTAAAATATACAAAACGTTGATACTCCCTAAATTCATAATTCATTCTGCTGCTAACAAGATAGTTTACTAATCTAAGTTGTCTTTGTGGTACTGTCATCCTTGTTCCCTACTTAGTAAGGATGAGCATCTATCTTATCATTTAAACATAGCACTATTTTAAAGGCAACAACACAACACAATCATAATTATGGAACATGAGAAGACATAACAATATTAATCTCAAAAACAATACATCATAACTATCAGCTAATTACACAGTGTATTAGTTATTCTCGCACAATCACATATACATGCATTCTATCACAATTCATTACATTCCTCTCTTTCAAATACGCATTCCTAATACATTGTGATCACAAATATACGATGCCTCCATAAGTTCTTGAGGTCTTACAAAACTAGGAAAATAATCGTCGATTAGCCCATGTATACAGATACAACATATGTAATAATGGGCCGCTTAGTAAAGGCATATTCAAGAGTTGATAAGTTCATATTTTGATATATTTTATGACTTATATTTATACACTTAAACTTTATTTTATATATATTTACACTAATTATGTTATTAATTGTTATAATTTAGCTGGAAGTTGTTATTGGTGCATTATGGAGATATTCTGGATAAAATTAGATATTTTTAGTCCTTAGTAGTGCTATCCGAAGTTGACTTTGAATTTTGAATTTAAAATTTAAACTAAGATATGGAGATTTGTAACGATTCTAATTATAGATAAAACCAATTTGAAAAGATAGAGCTCAACTGACTGGAAACTCAGGGCACAACCTATATAAAAAAGCCTTATGCTCCACACTTAGGACACTTCTACTTCTTTACACACCTTCTTTCCCTTCTCAGTTTTAACCAACCTCATCTTTAAGAGTCATTGGAGACCATTGGCAAGGACAACAAGCTTCTCCTTTGAGTTCAAGCAAGTGATTGAGCGCCTCTTTGTCTTTTACCTTTCTTGATTTCTTTTGTTTGAGTTTTCCTTTGTGGTTATGGATTTATTTATCACGTTTTTCGTAGTTTATTTTATTATGAGTAACTAAACCTATAGTTAGGGTTATAGTGGATCCTACTGCAAACTTTGTGTGATTTTTACTTTAGTGTTGATATTGGTTTCCCTTTAATGTTTGGTTCTTATTTTATTGGATTATATTGTGTATGTTAAGATTTGATCACCCTTAGCATCCCACAGTTAGTTGCATTGTAGGCGATCGTACCACATGTAATTAACAGAACTATAGGATAAAACGAGACAAGAGGCTATGTTAATCACATTTAATTCCTTTCTTTCAGCCGTTATTAAATTAACAAACTTATAGAATTTTCATGCTTTCTCGACCAATTACCTTACATGATCATTAGGAGTGTTTGCTTAGGAAAAAGAATATTAACATTGTATAATCATTGGGTGTTAATAGAACTAATTATGAGTCGTTGGCAAATATTTGGATACCAATATCAGGATTAAATTAATTAGAACATAAAGAAGTGTAGTAGGTAAACCTATAAGTTCTAGGCTCATCTCATTTGATCTCTCTCATACATTGTATTATTGTTCTTTTAATTTATTGTTAACATTAAGCTATGGTTTTAGTCTGTTACAATCCTGTTAAGTTTAAATAATCGAATCAAGTTATTTTTTGTACTTGAAAATAATCTCTGTGGAACGATAACTTGGGAACTCTTTTCAAAAACCTTTTATTACTTTTTTATGAGTACACTTGCCCATGAACAAGTTTTTGGCACCCTCGCCGGGAATTAGTTTTTAATATCAAAGAAAATTGAGTATTTGGTTGATTTAAACATTTTTATTTTTATTTTGTTTTATGCTCACTCGTTCTAAACCTATTGCAGAACTTGCTTTTGATTCAAAAATTGAGAAGGCTACACGTAGACTAAGGAAGGAGTATAAAGAAAAGAAAAAGATGATAGAAAAATGACCAATCTTGGAGTACATGACACCCATTGCTAAGAGTAATGCCAAGAGCATTGTAGCATTGACATAGAGGCCAATAATTTTGAATTATAGTGGGCCTTGATTAATTTAGTCCAGAACTCCACACTATTTTCGGGGCGACCTGACGAAGACCCCCACCTTCATCTGAAAAAGTTTTTCTGACTCACAGATACCATTAAATACAATGGTTTTACCAAAGATGCTATAAGACTTCGTCTCTTTCTATTCTCTATCACAGAAAGGGTGAATGCATGGTTCTCCACACTTTCATCTAATTCAATTACAACGTGGGATGTCCTAACCTAAGAATTCTTGGCCAAATATTTCTCACTATCACTCTTTGCGAAGCTGATGACTGAGATCTCCAATTTTCAACAATATGAGTCTGAATCTTTGTTTGAGATGTGTTAGCGCTTTTAAGAACTTTTGAGGAGATGTCCACATCATGGTTTCCCTGTGTGGAAGTAGATGTAGATTTTCTATGCTGGACTCTCATCTTCCAATAGAGCCACAGTTGATACTGCCGTTGGAGGATCCTTCCTATGCAAAGGGCCAACTACGGCCTATACATTGATAAAAAAAAAGATAGCATCCAGCAATTTCTAATGGCATACAGACCATTATAGAAGCAAAGAGAAGGAAGTCACTCCAATCTATTAGGTAGAAAGCAGTGACATAATAACAAATAAGCTAGAAACTCTGTCAAGACAAATGGAATTAATATTAAGAGCACAAGATCCATCAGCAAAACCTCCAGAGGCCAAGAAGGACAACTTCTTAAGCAACAACTACAGTTCAAGATGGCGAAATAATCCTCCAAATTCAAATGTTTATCGTCTTTCCCATATACAAAATCAAGGAGCAAGACCAGTGGGAAAGGAGGCTTCTAGATTTCAATTCAACTTCCAAGAACAAATGATGCAGTATATGCACTATTCTAACAAAAGAATGTTAGAGCTTGAATCTAAGTTGGAACAGCAAAGCCCAAACAACGGATAGAAGGTTCTCTAAGATAAAATTTGATGTGAAAACTCAGTCATCAGAAATAAAGGCACAACTTCAACAACTTACCAATCTTTTGAGTCAAATAGTGATGGGAACATTACCATCTCAGCCTGAACCTAATCCAAGGGAGCAATGCAAGCCATCACCCATAGAAGTGGAAAGAAATTACAAGAATCGCAGAACATAGACTCATGCACGCCTATGCTTAATGAGAAGAACGCCCATGCTTAATGAGAAGAATGCCCATGTTGACCCATAATAGAGAATGTACTTGTAAAAGTTGGAGAATTTATATTTCCTACTAATTTTGTGGTTCTTAACATGGAGGAAGATGATGATGTCCCTATCATACTAGAGAGACCATTCTTAGCCATTGCAAGGGCCATCATGGATGTACAAGAAGGAAAGCTCACATTGAGGCTAGATGATGAGGAAGTTATATTTCGTGTTTTCAATTCTCTAAAGTACCCTTTTAGCCAAGAAACCTGTACCTTTGTGACTATTATGGATGTTGATCCCCTATGCTCCAGACTTGGGACACTTTCACTTCTCTACATACCTTTTTTCCCTTCTTAGTTCTAACCAACCTCATCCTTGAGAGTCATTGGAGACCATTGGCAAGGACAACGAGCTTCCCCTTGGAGTCCAAGCAGTGACTGAGCGCCCTTTGAAAAATGAGAAATCTCTTCGTCTTTTACCTTTCTGGATTTCTTTTGTTTTAGTTTTTCTTTGTGGTTATGGATTTATTTATCACATTCTTCATAATTTATTTTGTTATAAGTAACTAAATCCATAACTAGGGCTAGGGTGGATCCTACTACAAACTTTGTGTGATTTTTATTTTAATGTTGATATTGGTTTTCCTTTAATGTTTGATTCTTATTCTATTAGATTATATTGTGTATGTTAAGATTTGGTCACCCTTAGCATCCCATAGTTAGTTGTATTGTAGGCGATCGTACCACATGTAATTAACGGGACTATAGGACAAAACGAAACAAAGAGTTATGTTAATCACACTTAATTCCTTTGTTTCAGCCATTATTAAATTAACAAACTCATAAGGTCTTCATACTTTCTTGACCAATTATCTTGCATGATCATTAGGTGTGTTTGCTCAGGGAAAAGAATATTGACATTGCATAATCATTGGGTGTTAATAGAACTAATTATGAGTGGTTGACAAATATTTGGATACCAATATCATGATTAAATTAATTAGAACAGAAGTGTAGTAAGTGAACCCATAAGTCCTAGGCTCATCTCATTTGATCTCTCTCATACATTGTATTACTATTTTTTTAATTTATTGTTAACATTAAGCTATGTTTTTGGTCTATTACAATCTCGTTACGTTTAAACAATCAAATCAGGCTATTCTTGGTACTTGAAAATAATCCTTGTGAGATGATAACTTGGGAACTCTTTTCAAAAACCTTTTATTACTTTTTGATGCGTACACTTGTCCACGAACAAGAGTCTACTCAGGAAACGAGTGTGAGTCGATGTAGTGCATTCGCTCTTAGAAAGAGTGTGCATACATACACGAATGTTGCTAATCGCTGTACGTTTTTCCTAGATTTCTTATCGTCTTCGAACTCTATACTCCAGTGTATCTCTGTAACTATTCACACTAGATCCATTCATCACTTTATGCTCATCCCATACTATTTTTCGTGTCAATCTCATTATTCTAGTAGAAGATTGTGCTTAGTAAACCACTTCCGGAATAAGTTCAAAACACATATACTATCAAATATAGTACTAACACCCAACATCAGCCAAACATGCTTTAATAACCTTTCACTACCATCCAATATCATTCACTCATGTATTTACAAACAAGAAAACACAGAAAAAACTCTTATGAGTACAAAATATTTATTATGCTTAAAATGATAAAATAGAACTCTCTTTACCTTGAAACGAAGTTTTGAAGGAAGGTTTATAAGAGTTTCCTGTGAAAGGTCCTATTTTTTCCTAGATATCACAAAAGAGAGCATTTTGAGAAGGGAGAAACATAGAAAATAAACAAAAACTAGAGAATTAGCTCTAAGAACTTACTTAGAGTTGATTGGGTGAATTGTAACACCTTAAATTTTCTTTTAACAGTAAACAAATTTTTATGACTGATAAAAAAAAATTCATTTCTATTCATAGAATTGATAATAGAATAAAGACAAAATTTTATATTTCCTTCTTATGAAAATTTAATAAGATTCCAAAAAAAGTCAAGCCTCCAAGGGTAAAACTTTAAAACTTGAAAATAATCAAATAAATTTTGAATACATATAAATTTTGAATTTCCACTAAGAACATTTCCAAAATATTCTTTACAACCAAAATTTGCTCGAGGATTTAAATTCTGAAATCTAACATTAAAGTCATTTATAAACTTTGGTAAACCCAAATTATAATTTGATAAAACAATACAATTTCTCAAACTATTTTAATCCCTACAGAGCAATCTTCCTTCCAACACCCTCGGATTATAATCCTAGAACGGGCCAAATATTTTTATCTCTTTACATCCATTACCTGAAAAATATTAGTAAAGGTGAATATCTCTCGCCCCATTGAATCTTTGGTTTAACATAAGTAAAATATTCACATGCATATACAGTACTAAAATACCACTCGACATGGATTAAATCAACAATGACACTCAAATCATCTAAGTTACCGTTACCAGGAAGCACGCACAGAACAAACAAATCAATCACACTCATCACTTCAGATCATACATCTTTCCACTGATCTGCACGCCATACTATATGTATTATACCGCGTCAATCAATATGTCACAACACATGTGTCCTAATCGCACCCATCGATGTATTACAACATATATATCATAACAACACTAATTGACATATTACAATGCATATATTATGACTGCATGATTTCTATACCAATCCATACACATCACACTTTTCCATTTATTTTAGTTTTACATTCAATATCCCTGGGATCCCTTGAAGACTTCATAGTTTAGATAGCCGCCGATTAGTCGCAGCAACACGAATACACGTGTGTCGACCCAGCCCCTTCTAGCAAAGGTATAGTCAGGAGTCTCATCAGGAAATAAGTGTGTGGCTTGTGAATGCTTTTATTTTTAGCAAATCATTGTGCACTATCCACACTATCATTCACCACCCTTATTTCCCCAAGATTTCCCAAATCTTCTCCAGACTTTATACCTCCAGTTGTATCATTGTAGCTATCTAAACACACCACCACATTTCTCAGTCTTTTCCATACTCTTCCATAGAGCAACATGTCATAATACGTGAGTCTTGACTAAATAACTTGGTGTATTACAATACATATATTATGAGTACACCCTTTTAGATCTTATCACAATACCTGTATTACAATCACATCAATCATCTATTCTGACTCTCGTATTATAATCACTTTTATTCAGTATTTCATTAAATTCATTCACACGTGCGCTCATTGTACTTAGCCATGCCCACTATGGCACTGTAATCTCATCACATAGAAAACCCTTATTTATTTATAAACAGCCAAACACTTACATTATATCATCGGTTCACTCATTTGGCATACTTCAATCATTAAACAACACATATACAATAATTATATCATTCATCATGCAAGTATCATCAACCAACTCATTCATTCGCAATACTCTAATACTCTTCATTACAGCCTAGTTCAACCAATACCAACATACCTCAATCATCATTAGATATTCATCAAATATAGAAATTCATCACATAATTTTATATATCACACAATCAATACAATGTCTCAGAGGCTGGACACCTCTAGACTCAGTCCAATCGTACAACCCATTAGTCACATTTCTCAATAATAACAATAGAGTCGTCTATCCTAAGGTTTGACATCATTCCAACTAGCCCCAAATGGTGTTCGCTTACTGAAAACGTAATGTTCCTTTCAAAACAGTTTTATTTATAACCTTTATTACAATTTTCATTTAGATAATTATCAAAATAGTTACGGGTTTTCCATATTACCCACCCAAGAGAGGTTAGGGTTTAGGATTTACTTCCCCTTACCTTAGAACAGAGAACCACCATGAAATCAACGATAGAATAGCTACCCACACGGATTTTCATCCCTAAAACATGGAAATCTCCATGAGAAACTGAGAATACAAGAAAGAGGAATGAGAAATCAAAAACCCTAACTCACAAACTTACCTTCAAGTGTCCCAAACTTGATTTTAACCTTCAATCGAACTTCCAAATGGCTTTGGAGGCAAATTAATCGGTGAAATAGGGTTTGCGGTTAAGAGGATCGAAGAAATTTTGAAGGTAGATATGAGAAAATGAGGTTCCCCAACCCTAAACTCCTTTAAATCCCTTTTTGGTTGCGACACTCTCGATACAACAAGACATTCACGCTGCACTTCTCTCGCTACAGCGAAAATCTCAGAGAGAATTGCATTCTGATT